CAATTCAACCCACTTCTGTCCCCAGTCAGCCACACCCTCGTGCCAGCCAAGAGCACTCGGGCACCTTCTTGTCAGAATCACATGCCACAGGGTGAAACAGATACAGCCAAACCCAGTTCTCCTTCACCCTTCCAGCGCACCTGGGTTATGTTTAGGAAAAAGTCATTTAAAAAACCAAATCAAGGAAGAAACGCGTAAAATTAACCTTGCTCTCCTCTTCTCTGCCATGCACACCGGGCGCTCTCGGGCAGGGCGCTCAGCCGCTTCGCCCGTCTCCTGCGGCAGCGCCCGGGCCGCGTCCCCGCGGCTGCCGGCGGTGCCCAGCGGGGCCGGCCGGCGCTCCTGGGTGCCCCAGCGGCGCCTCCGCGCCGACTGGCAGCTGGGCAGCTCCTGGAGGAAATCCACAGGTGCGGCGCCGTGCGGCTCCTCGGCGAGCAGAGAGAGCCCTGCGAGGGAGAGACGGGCGCTGCGAGTCGGGGGTCGCGGCACCAGGGCAGCCGGGACCCCGCAGCGCCCGAGGGGCGAGCGAGGGCAGCGCCGCTGCTCCGCTCCCGCGCCGTGCCTCCATCCCCCCCCGCCACCTGCGGCCGTGCTGCCGCCGCCCCGCCTGCCCCGCGCCCTCACCGCCGCCGTCCCGCTGCCATCCCGGCCCCGCGGCGGCCCCCAGCCCGCTCATGGCTGCGGGGGAAGCCGGAGCCCCGCGCCGGCGCTGCCGTTTCCGGGCGGCGGCTGCCGGGAGTGGGGCGAGGCTGCCCCGGGGCCGCCTTCCCCCGGCCCCCGCCCGCCGGGGGCGCCCGCAGCCAACAGGATCGCATTTTGGGGCAGCAGCGTCTTTCTGTTCCTCTTAGCCCAGGCTTGTTTTAAACTCTCCGTGAAGATCCACGGCAGGGTGTAAAGGCTCCTGCTGCCATCAGCCGCCCTCTGCGCTGGAAGGGGCTCACGCGTCCCAGGTGTGGGCTGGGGGTGTTCTGGCTGTGGGTATCTCTCACCGATGTTTGGCTTGGAAAATAGTTTAGTTTCAATGTCTTCCGTCAGTATTAACTGCCCGTGCTGGTGTTGGGTGCTGTAAAAACTTACAAACTCCGATACTTTGTCAACTCTCATTAGGTCACAAGCCCCAACTCACAGCTTGTTCTGGGGCTGGACAAAGTGGCGCAGGCTGCAGTGGAAACAACACACCTTTACTCTTGAATGTGAAAACTTGGTGTGAACTGGAGCAAATAAAGTCAGTAGATGCTGAACCTTTTTTCCATCTGAGAGCAAGGCGTGGGTTTTGTGTGAACTTGTAGAAAACGTCTCAGAGAGACTTATTTCTTGGAACAATTCTTGCCTTTTGTGTGGAAATAACAGCATGTGTGACAAATAAAGACTTGAAACCTTCAGAAGCTCAAAAGCCTTACGTGGAGGGGAAAAATTATTTCTAGCCCTTCTTACTTTATTCTACTGATAGTTAAAAGATAACCAGATTTTTCTGAACATTCTTAATGCACTTTCTGCAGTAGTTTTAAAAATAAGTCATTATTAGGCTTCAGAATGCTGAATCAGACATAAATGAGCATGTTTCTTCTTTTAGCTGTGTCATCAGCTCAGATATGTTTTTCAAGTTGCTTTGCTAGCAACAATCTATGTAGGTAATCTGTTTTCATAATAAAACCATAAAATGTTGTTGATAAAAATAAAAGTTCCCAAAGTAATTTAGATTTTGGTGTTTGTAATCTGTTCACCAGCAGAGGTGAAAGGTATATCTTAAGGGGAATTGTTGTGAAATACACACATGGAATTAAGCACAGCAACTTCCTTATTGCATTGAATGGCTTAAAAAACCAACAAAGAAACACACCATGGAGGTGCTCTTGCCTTCGTGCTGGCAGGTTTATCTTTGACAGTTGGACTTGATTATCTCAAAGGTATCTTCCAGCCTTGATGGTTCTACGGATTCTATAACTAATACGGATTTTTAGCTATTTTTGATGAGAACAACATATAACTTGCCCTCATCCTTCTATGACTCATTCTGGAGACCTATTACTTTTTTCCCTTCTCCTTTTCAGAGATTTCAGAGATCAGGATGGTCTTTGCCAGGTGGGATTTTTTCCTATAGCAAAGGCTGATGCTGTGAGTGTCAGCAGGATCGGGGTGTTGGTGACAAAGCTGGACACCTCAGTGTTACACATTTGCACAGGTGATTGTGGTTCCTGGGTTGAGTGCCACATTTCATGGGATTCATTTAAACAACTCCCAGCTGATCATTCTGAAAAACTCAAGGGATGGAAAATCAAACTCCTCAGCAGCATTCCTGAAAAATCATGTAGTGTTGTTGAGCATTCGTGCTGAGCGTGTGATTCATGTGCTGGATGAGAATGTGCATTTGTACCCACTGTTACTGGTGCCTTGAAGCCACCCAAGCATGGGCTGGCTTTGTGTGGCCCTAAATAGGAATATTTACAGGGTACAGCTGCCCTGGGGTGTCATCTGGGGTGGCAGTTTCACTTTTTATTTATGTTTCTTTTTTTACCATGAAGAATGCAAAGAGGAAAGGTGAACAATACACTTGAGGTTAATGAGACTGTTTCTGAAACTCTGTGTTCTAAAGAAGTATTGTGTTAATGATCCCATGAGAACAAATTTAAATAAAGTTTGGAGGAATTGAAACAAGATTGACTTCCCCAGGAATTTTGTGAGAACATTCTTTAATGTTATTTTTTTTTCAGTTGAGAAAGCTTTTATGACACTTGGAAATGTTTCAATGAATTTTATGGATCACAGCAATCCCAGGTGGAAAAACAGGAAGACAGACATGCTGGGGAGGAGAGAATGGATGATTCTACCAGAGCACAACAGTCAGATGCAGGGAATGCAGTAAGTTCCACTTGTATATCATTTGTCCAGTGTTCCTTATCCACAAAAGCAGCAGCTCTGTCTGTGCTGAGCATGGAAGCCAGTGCCATGTTCTGTTTCCCAGGATGTTGGAGAAAGGTCTGTCACATTTAGTAACACCATCCATTTCCAGGACAATTTTTCTTTTGTGTCATTCCTCTTCCTAATGCCACATCTCAAAAATGCTTCTAAGCATTCAGGGAAGTTCTGAGTGATTGCTTTAATTTTGGGGGATCTCATGTTTCACTACCCTGGTAGCTTGTGCTGTGGCCTGTGCATCGTGCAGGCAGCTCTGGGGCAGTACAGGAGATCTGCAGACAGGTCCTCTGCAGCCATCCCAGGAATGTTGCTTAGGGCAAAACCTAATCTTAAAGCAGCATTAGAAAACTCACTTGAGTCTATGTAGAATGTGTCTGGTACAGGATAAACACGTTTTACTGAGTTCAGGAGCTGGAAAAGCACTGGTCATTTGGTAAAAGTCAGCAGTTACACCAGCACAGCTTCTGAACACAGAGAAGATTGATTTATCACCAGTTCCCTGCTGGCATTAATCCGAAGGCTGACAGGGGCATTTTTCATCTGTTTGCATTTTTAGTCTTGCTGACCAGAGAAGTTACTTAGGAATGGTTGGTAGAAGTCTGAAGATGTGTGGTTTTCTGGGGAGATAAAATATGCCAAAATGGCATAAGAAGCTATATCAACACAGAAGCAGCTGGGGGGGGGGGGTCTGTAATCTATACAGTATTAGCAAAAAGGAAAAAGGCAGGCCACAGGTGTGGGACAGCAGAGCCAGCCTTTTCCTTACCCTGTTTCCTGCTTTGTCTGTGCCCACCCAGTGGTGGCTATTTGGCCCCTTAATTCAGTTTGAGGATGCTCCTGCTCCAAAGCATTGGCCTTTGTGAAGGGCCCTGGCAGTGCCTGCAGTGTGCTGGGGGATCCCTGAGTGCAGCTGCAGTGGAGTGAGGGAAGGTGAGGCAGGCATCCCTGCTGAGCTGCTGTGGGATAGAAATTCGTGTCAGAAGCACCACCCCAGCACTTTGTTGGCTACTCTGTGTTGCACCCTGCCTGATGCTCAGCTGGAGTTTAGTCCAGTCTGTAGTTTTTCATACCTCTGCATGAAATGGGTAGAAGAAGGGAAAGGAGAAAGGCAAGAAAAATCAGTATCTCTTGTGTCAGACTAAAGGAAAACACCTTCTGGTTCATACAGAGTACAGGAAGGGCTGGTGTTAAACACCCTGTCCAGGAACTGTGGATTATGCTAGAGAACATATGCTGGAGTTCATTATAGTGAACTAATTTTTCACCCTTAAAAGAGCCTTCCTTTAATTCAAGTAAAAGTATGTGAGGAAAGATTGTTCCTTTGCTTTACAAGTGATTAATCCAGCGATAAAGGAAATGCATCCTGTGTCTGAAAACTCTTTCTCTCTGTCCTTTTATTGTGGTGTTGTTGCTATCCCAGGCCAAAAGAAAGCATGTTTAAATTCGTGGGAGAAGGACAGTGAACATCTTGGAGTTCGAAGAGAAACATAGCAATGTGTTGCACGGTAGGTAACAGCAAAGAACTTCGGGGAGTTGTTCTTGTTGTTTTTCTGTCTCGTGAGCTGTACGAGCAGGACCTCAGGTCCCCTTTCCGGGGGAGCGTTTCCGCGCACATCCCGTTCGGGGGGGAGGGAAGGGGAGCCGGCGGCCGCAGCGGGTCCCCCACACGGGGACCGAAGGCGGCGCCGGGCGGCGGGAGGGGCGGCCGGCGGGGCGGGGCGGTGGCTCCCGGGCACCTGGAGCGGGAGAGCGGGGCCGGGCAGCCTCTCCCAGCCCAGGAGCGAGGTAAGCGGCCGCAATGGGCAGCTCCGGGGCTCTGCGTCCCGGAGAGGCTGGGCAGGGCCGGGGGCAGGGTCCGAGGGGGGCCCGGTGGGGCGGGAGGAGCCACCGCAGCCCCGACAGGTGCTGCCGCTTCCAAACGGCTGCTGCTCACTTGGAGTGATGGAACCGTAAGAGTCGGACTGCGGGGAGGTCAGGAGCGTACTCGGTTTCTGCTCGCTGCAAGGTGAATATCCGCCCAGGGCTTGGTGTCAGCCCTGCTGCACGAACAGCGCCTCACAGCTTTATCGGCCCCTTGGTCACATCCGAGCTTCCTCTGCCTTCAGCTGGACGGGCTGGTCTCATGGGAGAGCCGGCCACACTTCCCTGAGGTATTTAGCCAGTGTGTCACCCTCTCTCTGAGGTGTGGCACCAGCCTGGCTGCGATCACAGCCCGGAGCGTGGCATTTCAGTTTGGTGTAAGTTGCGTGTTCTGCTAGCTAGTGAATGGATGTGGCCCTGTACTTTCCAGGTTGTGAGTTTTTTGTGTTCCAGGTTGTAAGGTTTTTGTGTTACAATAGGTAACGGGAATTTGTGTTAAATAAGTGGGGAAAATCTCGGGCTTCAGTTTTCGTGTTCTTTGTGGTGCTTCACTCTGTTACTCCCTCAAAACACACAGACTTACTCTTTAACCTACAAAGGCTGAAACGTTTTTATGCAGAATACTTAATGTACATCTAAAAGCCAATCTTCGTGTTCTGGATTTTATTGCTGAGCTGCTGTCATTAGTAATGCTCTGTTAGTAAAGCAAACCTGCGAAAGCAGGGGCACTGCACGGGAGCTGCGCTGACTTCTGCTTCCCCCTTCTGCCTGAGTGTCACCACTGTCCCCTCTGCCAGCCCTGCCACCCTGTCCCCTCCCGCCTGGCCCTGCTCTGTGTGGCAGAAGCAGCTGCTCAGTGGCTCCGCAGCCACGTTCAAGGTGCGACAGTTCAGGTGAGGCCGCCTGTCCGTCCCTGTCCGTGCGGCACAGCCAGTGCAGGATGAGGGAACAGCAGGCTGCAGGTGATAAGGAATGCAGTTGAAACGGCACTTCTGCTGGGCTGATATGTCAATACTCCACCAAAGCAATTCATCTCTATTTTGAGGTGGGGTTTTTTTGGTTTTGGGTTTAGTCTTTTAGTGTTTTTTTTTGTTCTGTTGGTTGTTTTTTCCCCCAAAGTAATTTTGTCAGAAGGACTGTGGTGGTGTTTGAAGGTCCCAGGATTCTCATCTCTTCCCCAGGATGAGGGAAGAGATGAGAATCTTGACTTCATGATTCAGAAGGCTGATTTATTATTTTATGATATCTATTATATTAAAAGAAAATTATGTGTTAATACTATACTAATGAAAGAGAAAGAGAAAGGAGACATCAGAAAGCTAGAAAGGAATGATAATAAAATCTTGTGACAGACCCAGAGTCCGACACAGCTGGCTGTCATTGGCCATTAATTAAAAACAATTCACATGCAACCAATCAAAGATGCACCTGTTGGTAAACCCATCTCCAGACCACATTCCACAGCTATCACATAGTTATTGCTTACATTTCATTTCTGAGGCCTCTCAGCTTCTCAGGAGAAAAATCCTAGTGAAAGGATTTTCATAAAATCTGTCAGTGACAAAGGACTTTTACCCTGGAGAGTGATAAAGTGCTGAGGTGGTGTGGTATGGCTGCATGGGCAGGTTTAAGAGGAACTAGAACTTTACAGTGGTGTCCTCTTCATGTGCTGGTGAAAAAGTCTCTAATTGCTGATTGTATAGTCCACAGGTTATGTTCATTGTAGAATACACCCTTAACATGACAGTAGGCTACACTGGATTTTAATGGAGCTGCATTTTATCTGGAAAATTAAAAAGTATTCAGTTTATGTGAAATTATTTGTTGAAAACTGCATATAAGGATTTTGACAAAACCAGTTCTCTTCCTTGGACTGGTTCCCCCTAGCAATATTCTAGTTTCTTGGTATTACCAATATTCTGACAGATATACTTTTTGTTTTCCCTCAGGGTCCTGTTTAAGGCTGCTTGTGCAAATAGTAACAGGACAACAGTATTCGTAAGAGGAAGTTAAGCCACAAATTGCAAAGAGAACAATGCCCTTTTTCAGTCCAGGATCCTTGAGTGTATGCAAACCCCTGTTTATTATCCAAAATGATCATATGTGTAGTCTTCATAAGCTTTTCCACTTGAACTGGTGAATGATACTCCTGTAACTGATACTGCTCATTAAAGTACAATTTGCAGGTTGCAAGTGGAGAGGTATCCATTGCAAGTGCAGAATAAATACAGCTTTCTTTTATGGCTTTCTTTCAGTCAGAACTGTTCTAGTAAGCAGTATCTTCTAATAGACCTGCTGTTGTTGGCTGCCTTTCCATTCAAAGCAGAAAATTAATTCTAACCAGGTACTCATTTCCTTGTGATTCTTTTTTAGAAATTTAGTCACAAGACTGACTTGCACTGATATGAAACAATTCTTGCTTCAGCCTTTTTTTCCACATAATGGTCACAATACAAGCTAGATAATGCTTTTCAAGGGTTAAAGAAATAATGTAGAGTTCTGTTTCTTATTCTTAATAACCCTGCCTCTTTCTGCCAGGTATACTGTTCCTGCTCTTCAGCTCTTTCTATTTTTAGTAGTTATATATCTCAGTGCTTATGATTTTCCTAATGAATTAAATTTGCCCTTGTGGTCAGATTTAGGAGAATAAAAGCAACAAAGCACCAAACACAGAGAGTTGGTCTCAAAGAAGCCTTCAGGTAAAGGATTAGATCATTCAAAGTCATTGTCATATGTACTTCAGTCCACAGGAATTGGGTCTATGGAGCCTTTTGGGTGAAGAAGCAGGGATGTGTGTGGTAGATTAGGGAAAGTACTACAAATTTCACAGAATTAATGAAGTATCTGAACTTTCACCCATTCCCTTTATGCAAAAACTGTATGTGCCTCCACTTAATAACACTTTACTGATCACTAAAATTTAACTACATATTGTAACAATTTTCTAGGTGTTTTTGGAGCATGTTTAAAATGCAGGTTTCTAAACTCAGGTGAAGAAGTAGGAACCTGTCTGGGACACTGCATACACAAAGTAGCTGGCAGTCCTTCCCCAAAAACCTTGTCTGAGCAACCACAGGTGATACAAAGGATTTAACTTGCAAAGAAAGTGAACACAATGAAAATACTGTAGTCTTACTATATTGTGAAGGAATTACAAGAGGAATGTTAAATGGAAGGGATAAGGCAAAAAAAAGTGAGTAGGTGCAGAAAAATGGATTAAGAGTAAATAAGGCACAATTTAGATTGCTTAAATTGAATTCTAGGTCTAAAATAGCAGAACTGATGTTGGTTCCTTCAATGGACCCTGCTGACCTCAATGAAACCACCAAGGGAGGCCTGGAAGAAGTGGTGTTTGTTGGTGCTGGTTGGGTACTTTGGCAAGATGCAGTAAAGATAAGTGGCTTTGCTTCCGTGTATGATTCACTTGGTTCCACTGTTAATACATCATTTAGAGATGAGGTTTTCCCCAGTGCAGTGTTTGGTTAGTGTCAGTACACAAGCCCTTTAGATTTTCTGAGAGGCTTTCCTGGTCTCTTGCAAACATGTTGAAACTGTTGGGACTGAGACAGTGGAAGAGTAGTGATCAGTACTGGAGTCCAGCTGCTGAGGCAGAATAACTCCAGCTTGTCTCTCAAACTCACTTTTGGCTTCCAGAAATCAGTCTGGTTCTTTATCATCATGATGTATAGAACATGTTGAACAGGATAAGCATTCATGAATAAAACTTGGGTAACAGTGAAGTCCTGTGTAGTCATACCCTACAAAACTCAACAATCTTTGTGGATATAGATAGAGCACATTCAGCCCTCTGAATCACTTCTTCCATGAGTTCTATTTCCTTCATTCAACATTATTAAGTTATCTATGATGCAGTTCTGGAATTCCCTGTTTTTATTCCATTTTAAGATGTGTGCAAATAGGATTTACTTAATGAAATCTTTTTTTTTACTGAGAGATTACAGGTAAGGAGCGTGAAGGTCTAAATGGCTTTTCTTAAGCTTGATGCCAGGACAAAGTGCTGTTTTGGCAAGACACTCATGTTTGGTTTATTATATTCTACATGAGGATTAGTGTCTATAGCAGAACATTACCTGCACAGGAAGGGATTAAACTAACCTGGAATATTTGGTCAAGGCTGTTAATCTGTGACTTGAAGGCAGTCATTTTTCTGGGAGATGATTCAGAACTATGAGTCTGCACTGCTTGGAGTTTCCTGGTCTGTATCATTACAGGGTTGAAGGATTTAAGTGGGAAGCACCCGCCCTCCACAGATCTTCTAACTTATTTACATATCAATGATCAGTAAACCCACTGATCTTAAACGCTGCTGTACTCCAGAGAAGGTGCACAGGATTTGTTTGTTTCAGCAAGATAAGTTGCTTGCTGAAATCCAAAAATGTAACCCAAAAGTGGATGCCACTATGCAGAGGGAAAATCTGTCAAGATCCTTCTTTGTGTCTTTTATAAATAACCTCTGTCTTCCAGCTATTTTTTTCCCTTCCAAATAATTTTTTTAAGGAAGAACTAAGTCTAAATGTCCTATCTGTTCCTGGAACTATGGTTTGCTGCATTCCATCATAGGGTGAAAAGAGCAAAGAGATGGTTTAGTTTGAGCATTACCTGCTTTGGGTTCTTTCCAGTGAGCTATGACTGGTCAGAAATGTATCAACTGTCAGATTTGAATTTGCCTTTGCATACGTGGAAAATTTACTTCAAGTCATTAAAACTTTGTGAGTGGAGAAAAAACTGTATTTTCAGATGCTGGGTTCAGTGTTAGACTGTAAATATCCCTGTGGATTTTCATAGTGATCCTGGCATGCAGTGCATCATAAGACCCAAGAAAACAGAGTGCATAATGACAGAGCCAACAGAGAATCTGTCTTGGGCTTTTTTGAGTTTCTGAGGAAGCCTTTATGGATAAGGCTTGAGGTCTCTCAAATGAGTAAGAGAAAGAAATGCTGGATAGATTTTCCAGCCAGGCTAATCTGTTTCTTCTGGCTGGTTGATATGGATGGCTGATGCTTTCTGCCAGTTTGCTTATGGGTCATGCTGAGTCTGCACAACCCATACACTTCCATCAAAATGTCTGTGCTCTCTACAGCTCCAATGAGGACCAGGCAAGTTGGCAAACTGTTTAGATCAGTGCTCAGCTTTCCAGCTGCCCTGCTGGCAAACTTCCCAGCTTTTTGGATAGCTGAGTCCAAGAGAGTTGGGTTCCTGGGAAACCAGTTTAAAAAAAAAATAGAAAAATGTAATTTTGCACACTCTTCAAAGGGAATTGTCTCAGAATTTTCTTCCCCTGAGAAAGTAATGTTTCCTTATTCAGCTTTTCATTGCAGTTTGAAATATAAACCACATTTATAGAAGGTGTTTAGTTTTCCAAGCAAGTCTTTGCAGAAGACCATGATAATATTTTTCAAGAATCATTTCCATGCTTTTAAATAGAATATAGGGGCAGAATGTACTAATTCCTGGAGGGTTTGTACAGAAGTTCCGATATATTCTGAGCTAGTTCTCAAGAGATCACCGAGAGCTAAGTGCTTCCTGTCAAAGGAAATCCATCTCTTCAGGAGATTTAAGCTTCTCATGACTTTTAAGTAAGAGCCTTGGATTTCTTTCATGTAAGAGCCTTGGATTCATGGGGCATTTATTAAGTTTTTTTGGAGATGAGGAAAGAAGGCTTTGCTAACTACTCTTGTGCTTTCACGAGAACCTGACTCTGTCTCTGTAGGTGTGAAATTGTTGTCTGAAGAAACACAAGTGTCACTTAGAGATTGTTTCTGGTTTCTTTTTGGCACTTAGGAGAGATTGTTTCTGGTTTCTTTTTGGCAGCAATCACACCCTGTTGTTTGCAGCAGCAGGGTGATGCACTGTGTGCTCCCATTGCCTGGTGTGCTTTTACTGGATGTGCTGAGTACTGGGCCTCAGAGCACCCTTCCTCATGCTGTAATCAAAGTGTGGTCAGAGTTCTGATTCAAATGTTGGACTTTGAATTTAATCAGTCCCTTGTGTTTATAAGCATAATTCTGCAAGTCAGAGTGCAAAACCTGGGCAGTGTTTTACAACTACGTCACACTGCAGGATTTTAGACTGTGTTCCAAGCTCTTAAAGCATGTAAAGGACACAACAGTAATTTAAGAGCTTCTTTTGGCAGAGTAAGATTTTGAAAAGCCCTCAGAAACTAGACACCTTATAATTATCATTTTGAAGCTACTTTTCATATAATACTTCCTTTGCTACATCACAAATAAAATCCATTGCAAATGAAAAAGTTTGTTGAGACTACTGTCTCAAAAAGCTCTGCTTTTCTAGGAATGGAGCTGAAATAAAAATAGGTTCTGATGGGTTTTACCAGCTTTGCCCTTTATCGTTTATTTTCCCCTTCCCTGCTGTGGAATAGCTTGCCAGCTTAGGAAACTTGCATGGTGCCTTTAAGAAGAAATGCTAAAAATAGTTTCCTTTTTTATTTTGAGTATGGCTTTTGATTAATTGCAAGAACTGCCTGCTTAATTTGGATTCTCTTCTTCTAATGTAACGTTCCCTTTTTACTGGCTCATGAGGACTCCCATTCAATAAGTTCTAAGTCTGGCTTTTTTAAGATGAAAATGGAGCACTCTGTGAGAAATCTAAACCCAGGCCTATTTAAAGGATTGAGGCATTAAACCATTAGAGGAGCCCTTATTAAGAATGAGTCTCTAGATGTTGTCAGCTCTGTACAAAATCACGGTCCCTCAGGTCCCTTATTCACAACTGAGGCTGAGGGATGCACTGCTAGCAAGGAACAGGGCAGGCTTCACTTCCTCTTTCATTTTGGAAATGGAGTTAATTTTTTTGAGAAAATTTGTGCATTTGGCTTTTGCTGTTTAAGGAGGAGAGAGATAACTCTATTTTTTTTCTCAATGTTTTGACATGCTTCTAAAGCCTGGCCTCATTAGTGTTGGGAAAACTTCTGTGTCACCGCAGTTCTGTAGGTTTGGAGAGACCTAACTATAGAGAAATATGAGTTCCTATTTGTCCTGCCACTTCTGGTGGACCCCAGTTTCCCAATGGTGAGGTGATGAAGTTACAACCACTGCTGATTTATACTGTTTCATGTTATTTGTTAGTAGAATCTTCTAAGTTGCTCAAATGGAGTTCCTTCCTTTTAATTTTTATGCACCTGCATCTGTTTTGTAATCAGGTCTGTAATCAGTGTTCCTTTTTACATGGTAATGAAGCAGCAGAGACAAAAATAAGGAAGATTTCATCCTTCAAACCAAGGACTCTCCATGTCTTATCATTACGATGAAGCCTTTGAAAATCCAGACTACCACTTCTCAGAGACATTGGAAATTGATAGAAGGTGAGTTTATTTAATTTTGCTCTGTAAATTTGCCATAAGAAATATTCATTTATATGCAGAAGATCTTCTCTGGAGTTTTAATTTGTGGATTTATTTTAATCCCTCCTTTATGTTTTCATTCTCAGACAAATTTTTAAAACTGTTACCAGGAAGGCAGCATTCCAAGGAAATGGTGTGTTTACTTTTTACATGTTGAATGAATGTTAGTTAAATGTATTTATGGCATAATGTTGTACATATTTTTTTTAGTTCCAGTAATTTTTACAGTGGGATATAACCTTGGCTGTCTTTGTTTTCCAAGCCAGTATTCCTGTTTAGTTAGAGTCTAAGCTAACTTCAGGTGGAGAAAATTTTAGCTTCTTAATTCATTTAATGATCAAATCAGAATTATGTTGTTGAAGTTGTAAATACAAAATATGTCTCAGTATCATAGTTTGTTTCATAATGTACTCAAATTCAAGATACCTATTGAGGGTTTTTATGACAGTCAGGATTTTCTTTTTTATTGCTTACACAGGGGGAGCTCTCAAAGGAATCCATTCTCTCACCCAACTCCTTATGATTCATCTCAGTCTGATTACTATGGAGAGCACAGAGGGAGGGAGCAGAACTACCCTGTGGCCATCCCAATGGTTTCCCTGGGACCTGGCTCTGACTACAGCCAGGATTTACCCAGCCCAAGTCCATATGGAAATTTCTCAGGTATGTAATTTCTCATGTGACCAGCTTAGAGAATGCCTGGAACAAATAACACTTGGCTCTGTCCTGAGGGAGTCTTGCTGCTCTGCAAAGCTCAACTCTGTAAATATTTTTAGCTTTTTGTTTTTTTAAGCAGTTCATGTGTTTTATTAGCAAATCCATGGATTGATGTATTAACAGATCAATAAATATTGTCTTGTATGGACTGAGTAAGGTGTTGAGTACTTGGATGTACATTGGGGTGGGACGTGGGAGTTTTGTTGAGGAACTAGGTTGCTGTGTTGGCACTGGATCTGTATTTTGTCATAGGCTTGGCATTCTGTGTCTGTAAATAACCCACAGCCATTTGCAGCTTTGTGTAACTCTGATTTCCTTCAACAGACAATCTTACCTTTGAGCCTGAGCCAGAACTGACTTACACCCCATATTCTACCTCCCATATGCTGGATTATCCCTACACTCATGGAATTTCCAGTGGATCAGAGGGTAAGGATTGTGGTGCATCACAATATTGCATGTCAATCTCAGCCTCCATAAAATCATACTAATAAATATTTAAAAGCCTTCTTTTCAGGTATGAACACCTTCACATAATAAAAGGGGTTATAGATGGGGTTCTTCCACATCAGAGAGCTGAGCTCCACACTGGGATGTGACACTGGGACTGGCCATTATCTTACTGGCAAGGCCAGGCAAGGAAAGCTGTGGCTAAACTCAACTGTGTCATGGCTGGAAGGCAGATGCTTTTCAGGAGTGTAGTCACCTGTTTGAGTAAGTGGATGAAAGGAGGTGGAGAGAGCAGCTGCGTTTTGACCTCAGGGAAATGGGAGTTTGGCACATAGAACTTACTCAGCATGAAGGAGTGTGATTCCAAAATGATCCCCCTGAAGGCTGGGGAAGGATTTTTAAAGAAAGGCCTTGTCTTCTAAGAAGAAAGTCTTGAATAGTGAATGTGTGCATTTGTGAATGGGTTAGATGGAGTTCTCCATGACAGATGAAGACTGGGTTCAGCCCCTCTTTTCCAGCATTTATCTGAAAAAATGCTTGTGCTTGTCAAAGACAACCAGGAAAGAAGTGAGTGGGGGAGTGTGTCTGCATGAAGTTAGTGAGATTAAAGGATAGACTTTTAGCTTGTTCTTGTCAAAGTGAAATTTGAATTTCTTAAGTGAAATTGTCAGGACTCTCTGGGCTTCCTAAAGAACGTGTGTTATTCAATTCAGACAGCTTCATTCGGAGACGCAACCGAAGACCACCCGATGAGATCTTCATGACTTCTTCCAGCATGCTTGAAACAGACCCAGTGTGCAGGGAAGGTAGGCTTTAGATAAGGGGTTCAGTATGTGACAGTGTCTTGTACAAGGATGGTGTGGTTGGTGCTGCTCTGTTTGTCACCAGAACTGTGTGTACAGCCCTTCTGTGCTTATGGGGACAGCTTAGGGATTTGTGTTATGGTAGTGATTAATCTTTTATGCTCTCCTAACACACTCAAATCCCATGATAAATGAAATTAAGTGCAGTATGAAGGTGTTAAATTGTAGAAAGAAATGCTAAGCTCTTTATTAGAATTTGTTTGACCAACTAATAGATTGCTTTCAGCCACTGTGTCTGGAATTAGCATCAAATTCCAATATGCAGAAGCAGCCTGATTGTCAGGTCAGAGAGGGGTGTCTGTGGCCTAGGTAGTGATAAGTAGGGGCACTGACATCAACTAAAATTACAGAATAAATAAAGCAAAAGTTTAATTTTCAAGTCAATATGTAGCATGATAGAAGTGTAACTATCAAACATGATCAGGTGGACCAGAATCTTGGAGTTTTGTCAATATTTAATTTTCCTTTATATGGCAGCTCTTTCTATGAACATTATTGGACTACTTGCATCTGATTTAGAGTTTTGAGGGAGCTGAAGATATTCTGGGCAAAATAATTAAGTCTCAGCTTACACACCTTGATAGCAGTACAAATGAGGGATGTTGTTATATCTATTTCTGGTTGTGTATAAAAATTACCGTGTTCTTATCCCCAAATTTTGTTTTTTGCGTGGGTTTGATGCAGAGGAAGATTTAGTTGGAAGTCTTGCAAGTATGTCCAGCAATGAAAGGGTTAAGGCCATCCAGAAGATGCCAAAGACCATGAGACAAAAGAGAGAGATCAGGTAAAAATAAAAGTTTGTGTTTAGTTTTAAAAACATTTACTTCTAGCAAATGTTTACAAACATTTCCTAGAAGTTGCAAATGTTTAAAATTTGCATCTAACTATCAACTATGGGAGTTTGCCATTTGCTGAACTTTGGTTTACCACTTTATGACAAAGTACTTTTTAATGCACTTTTCAAATTTATTGTCTTGCAAGAAAAAATAATTTAATGATGGAGATAAGAAGAATCTCTCACAGTAATATAAAACAGAATATCAAGGTCCTGAGATTTGGTTATAAATGCTAACCTGAGATTTATTTTCAAAGGAAACTTGGATGTTGGTCATCAAAAATGGAGAAGAGACCACATGATCTCAACCACCCTTTTGTCTCCTTACAAAATATATGTAAATTCTGCTGCCAGTGTGAGTCAGTGGAGGGGTTAGAACATGCTGTCATAGCAGGGACAGGAGCCAAGGTATCAGCTGATATGAAATGAACCAGTAAGAACATCTGCATGTGGTACTAATTCTGTTCATGTGCACAGGGGTGAAACTGTATTTGCAGCATCTTCTTTGGCTTCTTGATTCAATTGCAACTCATACTATAATGCTTGTCACCCCTGCCCTGCTCTTCCACAGAAACAAGGTTCTGAAAGAAATAACCAAAAAATCAAGGCATCGTGGTGCTCAGTGTACACAGGGAGTAGCAGTGGTAAGTGCCAGAAACTTCTGTCAGTGACAACAGAGCAAACCACTCTAGCTGCAGTGCTACCACTGCCTCCAGAGGGATCTGGTGTCTTTCTTCATGTTACCAACCAAAGATCCAGTTAATTGCTGCAGTGTTCATTAACAATGACTTGCACTGCAGGAGCACCAGTTCACCATCTTATGGTGCACGGAGTGGGCCAAATCCATTCTTAACAACATTAAAGTGTGTATTTTTTCAGCATTAAAATGTGAAGCTTCATTCTGTGAAGTTAAGTCCTGTTTGCTTGCTGAGATTGATGCCTCTCCTCTTTTTCCCTGCAGCCATTTCAGAGATTTGGAAATACCCTTTCAGAATGTTTTCAACAACTGCAGCCATGGCACAAGACTCTCAAGATCATTGGTGCTGAGTTTGGAACAAGTGTTCTTTCTTATTTTGTTTTCTTGAAGTGGCTGCTAAATTTGAACATCTTCTCATTCCTCATAAACTTTGGTTTCATCACAATTCCTCAGTTTCTTGCAGCAGAACCAAATAACCTTTCATTCACGGGCCTGGAGCTGCTCACTGGAGCTGTAAGTGTTAAATGTAATCACACCTGTGGTTTCAGAATAAGGAATAGGACAGCTCCCACCTCCAGTAATTTGTCTTCAGATTATTATGCTTCCTACCATGGAGGTGATAGCAAATATTCTGAATTATGTCCTTGTCTTTTCAGGGTTATTTTCAACAAACAGTGCTCTACTATGGCTTTTACACCAATGCTACAATCAGTAAAGTGGAGAATGGTCCATCTTACAACATGCAGCTGGCCTATATTTTCACTGTTGGAATATATTTTGTCATCAGTTTTCTTATCTTGTTGTTCAGGTAAACTGACTGTGAATTCCTGTTTCTCTTATATTAAGGGGAAAATACCCACACAATTAAAAACCCCATCCTGCCAACAGTTAGAGGTAATAATTACTTGAGTATGTTTCTGTAAGTCCTTATTTACAGGGGTAGAGTTTAAGTAGAAATTTCTGCTCAAAAGATTGTCTCTAGGAATCAAACCTTTATTACAGAAATTAAAAACAACTGCAAAATAGTGAAGGACATACAGAGAATCCCATTTCAAACTGGGAATATTGTGATCCCCTTTTGTAAGCTGTTGCTCCTAATATTGTTTCTTATGGACGTGGCCTTCCAGAGGTAAAGATTGTCAGCAACAATCTTGAGATGGAAATGCTAGAATTCCTTACATTAATGTTTATTTTCCACATTGTTGTATGTGACATGCTCTGACGTAGGTCCAATAAACTTGTGATGGGATGGAAAAGCTGACAAATCTCCCTCCTTGCCCTGCTGTACAGACTTGATGAATTTCCCTGTTACACATCTGACCAATTTAATTTTCATTGCAGCATGGCAAGATTCTTCTCCAGGAACTTTGTTAAGTTAACAAAGGCATTCTCTGTGAATGCCAGCAAGCTGCTCTGTACTTGGGACTTCAATATAACCAATGAAAAAGCTGTGAAGCTGCAACAAAAGAATCTCCTCACACAAATAAAGGTACAAACCACAAGAGGCACAAAACTAATGTGTGTTAGTCATTTTGTTAGAAACTGAGTTGTGCATACAAATTGGTGTGTGCACATACAAGTCTCTGTCAGAGTAACACAAGTGTGCTAGTTCTGTACCTAAGAGATTTAAATCTTCCTGACTTCCTGTGTTTCATTTGGTCTGAGCTCCTGGCATTGGCTTAGCTGCTTGTTTCCCTTTTCTCATTGAGCTACATATAAATATTTGTGTGCTTCTGTTCTATTGAAGGAGTTTCTGTGACTATTAAATATTTGCCATACAGAGTATTTATTCAGGTTTCTCTCCTTCCTGCTATTTAACTATTTTATAAACAAAAGGCAGGCTGGAAATATTTTCTGTGAAACTTGACTTCTAGGATAGGAACACAAAATTGTCCAGTAAATGTTCCTAGGATATTACTCTCCCCATCTTCTAGAGCAATAATCTTTCATTCAGTTTCTCTGGTAGTGCCCTGAAACAAGTTTTGCCTTATGCTGTTGACTAAGAACTTCTTCATCAGGAATTGTTTCTTTGCAGGAAGATCTCACTGAAGTAAACAAAGAAGTTCTAAATTTTTCTGTGAAGGAGAGACTTGGTCGTATTGCTACTCATCTCCTTGCTTGGGTTGTTTTCCTGGCAACAGCAGTAGCTGCTTCTACTGGTGTTTACTTCCTCTCCATTAATAACCTCGAGGTAAGGCCAGAATTGGCATTTTCCACATAGGTATTTCACACTGAGTGTGAGCACTGCTCTGTTCACTACGAGGAGCACAGGCAGGCAGAGCTGTTGTTGCTGCCAGGGCACACACAAATTCTGCTGGCCCTAAGGAGCTGCTTTGCAAGGCCTGCCCCACTGGGGACTGTGGCAAGAGTGAGGGAGATGAGGGGTCTGAGCAAATCTCCTCCTCTCTCCAGCAGCTGCTTGCCTGGGCCCATGGTCAGCTTAGGGACAGTGCATCTGGTGAGAAACAGCAAGAAGCAGCCTCAGCAGGACCTGTCCCTTCTTCCCCAGGAGCTGCTTTGGAGTTGGGGCTCCCGCCCTTGGTCCCACATAATTTAGGGGAAGGGGAGAGGGTCACTGTTCTGCTGCTCATGGGCCCCTAAAACATGAGAGTCTCCAACCTGAGAACATCCAGGGAGGTGAGCTAGGGGGCTTCCCTGTGGACACACCTTGAGACAGCATTTTGGTTAAGGCTCTAAGTTTGGCTTGTTTCATTATGTTTCTTTCCTCTCTTAGCTGTTTATGAAAGGGTATAGCAATGATCTACAGAGACAAGCTGCCATGTTGGTGCTACCTGTGATTGTATCTCTCCTCAACACATTGATCCCATTCTTCTTCTCCTGGCTCGGGCACCTGGAGAAGTTTCAGACCCCTGGACAGCACATATATGTCACTATTATCAGGTATTTCTTGCTGCCACCTCTTAGTGCTTTCAGCCTGAAGTTGTCTGAGTTCTTTTTGATACAAAGTTGTGTCTGGGTGGTGTGGGGCAATAGGGAGCTATGGAGGAGAGTTCATATTCTCCAAAGGCTTCTGTACACTCTGGTCATCATGACCTTTTGTCTTTCATGAGCTTCTGGGATGTTATATCTGTGCATGAGGATGAGGAATGGTTTCCCTCCCAGCTGGGTGCTCTGTGACACTGGGCTTGTAGCACTCCTTGATGGCCCCTGGGCTGTTGGCCCCTCCCCAGGAAAGGAAGGGATAGACAGAGGACTGAGGTCATCTCACTTAAAAACAGATGCCTGGAATTTACCCTGCCTAACCCCTGGTGTCCCTCATCCCTGCCTCCCCTGAGGAGCCCCCACAGCCAGCCAGCAGCCTGTTAAGCAGATGTTGTGCCAAGGTTGTCATGCCCAGCTCCCCTCCTACCAGGACAATAGAACAATGCCACACCTGAGCTCCCAGGAGAGCTCCAGCTAGTCCTGGCACTCTGCAGTGCCAAGAGGAGGTAAAAAGTGTAACCAGTGGTCATCCTGCCATCACTCCCTCCAGCTATGGACCAGCTGTTGGTGCAGTTACTGTTACTTCTTTTTTTTAGAAATACCATCCTGAAAATGTCAATTGTTGGAATACTGTGCTACTACTGGCTGAACATCGTGGCTGCCTCAGAGTCACAGGTAAAGTTTCAGAACACAAATCTCTGACTTGCAGTGCCAGGTTAGGAACCACTAGGATAAGAGACTTGCTTCAGCAAAGAGAAGCACATGGGGTGTCGTGGGAAGCTGAGTTTCCTACCCTAACAATTTTTATTAGCAACTTGAGAGAAATCAACTCTAGAAAAAAATGAATGGCCCAGCTCAGGTCTCAGCTGGATGGCAGCATTGTTCACTGAGAAGTCAACCATGATTTGCCAGGCTGCTAGAATGTATTTGATCAAGATTTCAGATCTTTGATCAAGTTTCAGATGCCCAAGCATGTGGGAACAATGTTTAAATGGCATCATTTTTAAATTCTAATTTGATTTTTTTTTTTCTTCTGTTTCTTAAAGTGCTGGGAAACTTTGGTTGGCCAAGATATCTATCGTCTTGTTCTAGTTGACTTCATATTTTGTTTGCTTGGCTCTTTCTTTGGAGAGTTTTTACGAAGGTGAGTACTACTTTTCTAATCTCCTTTTCATTCATTAACCAAAGATGTGATCTGTTTTCTCCATGTGAGAAAAGTCCAGCAGAAGCATGGCTGTGGCACCACTGAAGTTTCCTTGATTTTCCCTACCAGGCAGAGTCTCTGTGTACCTGCCTTGTGTCTATTGCTTTTCCTCCTTAGAAGGAGGTCAGTGTGTCCTTTTTCCCTTTGGAGATGGAAACACATGCAGGGGGGAAGCCACATCCTACTCTCATGGATTTCCTGAGACTGAGGTGACAATCAGGTGTCTCAAGCACAAATCCATCTTCTCTGCATAAGCATGGGACACTGCTGCCTTTCCTTGGTGTACCCACTGTGATTTTTTCCCTCTCAGTTATGTCACTACAGTGTCCACAAGTTTAAATCTGATTTTATCATAAGCATATAATGAGTCTCTCAAAGGTACAGGTCTCCAGCATGATAAATGAGAAAGTATTGTGGGCTGGATGTAAGGAAAAAGTCATTTACTTCTGTCATCTATTGTGTGAACCTTCTTAATGGCAAACATTGCTTATGGCTTAGGCAGTATTTAAGTTCTTGCCAGCTCTACAGAGCATTTAGATCCCTGGCCATACTTTTGTGTAGGAGATCCATTGTTTGCTCTCTGCCCATGATTTGAACAAGACTGGTTTACAAGGTAGGGCTTTGTTAACTTCTTCTTTAGTTTATACAAGACAATGTTGAGAAGTTCTTGAGGACTTTTCCTCCACAGCTCTTGCCAGTGTACTTTAATCCTCCTGTTCTTGTGTTCAGTAGGAAACCACCTCCCAGCAGAAAGTCACAGAACTAAAACTGCAATGTCAGCTGTGAGGAATGGCCTCCCATAAGCTGGGCAAAAGCACCTGACGTAGACATGTGAAAGGTTCAAAGTACAATTGCTTGTATTTAATATTTTGTGCTCAGAGTAACCTCCTGAAAGCCCAGCTCTGTTGGTGATGTAGTTGATAAGGTGGTATCAAGATATGATAGTTACCAAAATCTTTATTGCTCTCGCCACAACAAGCAAAAAACTGGTTCCCCAGCTCAGGAAAGCTGAGGTGACTAAAAGGGATTGTTGGTCCTCAGTAGGAATCCTCTCAGTACTTGCTTACCTGTCTGTTTCAGCTCCTTGCAACCTCAGTTAGTTTGAAGTAGGATGTATTTGAGGGTACATTAAGAGTATCAGTGTACAAATTTCATTTTTTTTTATTAATGATTAAAATTCTCAGGACCTGAAAAAGCTGTTACAGTTTTGTTCTGAGGTCCCTGGACATTTCAGCTGCTTTAGCAGAAGAATACTTGTGCTTAAAGCAACAAGTAGTTACTATGGTATAGATATGTACTGATGCAGTAGGAAATCCTTGTTGGTTCTCTGTTTCAGTTGTGTGCAACATATACTAGGTCTTACTTCAACCCCGCTTTGTTTTACAGGATTTTTTTTGCCAAATTAATTCATTTTTGCTGCGCTGTCTAATGAAGGAGTTGTGGCTTCTTTGCATGACAGTAATGCAGCCTCTAAATAATTTGTCACAGATGCTTGTTTTCAGAAGGTCATTTACAGGGATTTCTACAGAGGACTTTATCATTTAGCAATTGCTGTTGTACTATAGTTTTTTTTCTCCCCAGAATTATTGGAACTACAGTCTGTGTGAGCCTGGGGCTGCCAGAATTTGATATTGGACGAAATGTTTTAGATTTGATCTATGCACAGACTTTGACCTGGTAAGTGTTAAATTTACAGCCAAAACTTCATTTGCATGTAGAACTATCATGGAAAAAATCTTATTCTGATGTTTGTGGGTGTTTCCCAGAAAGAACAGGATAAATAACTGGGAGATGAGCTGTTCAGTGCCTTTGGTAAGGATTGTGACTTGCCAAAGTAATTATGTGTAACAAAGTAACAATACCTTCAGTCAGTAATTAACCTGGTGGCCACCTGGTCTGGGAGAAACCTGATAGGTTCCTGTAGGAATATCCTGGAGTTTTGTTTACTTCCTCACTGGGATGATGTTCTTGATGAAATGGTCTCAGTATTAAATGCTGGAAAAGATGCCTTATTTCCTAGAATGAATATGTTACTCCAGTTATAAGAGGGTTCTGCAGATCTGTACATAACATGTGTGTTTGAAATTGCATATTTTCAAAGGTGGACTTACTGTAAGAGGATCAAGGGTAACAAAATCACATTTCCAACTAATCCCACACTATCTGTATATGAAGTTACTGTGGTATTTTTCTGCTTTCAGTGCACTGAGAACTGAATGGTGACTAGTGAAGATGTAACTTTTTTCTCCTATAAATCCTTCCTTGTAGGATTGGTATCCTGTTCTCACCTCTGTTGCCTGGTATCCAGATGATAGCATTTCTTATAGTATTTTTTGTGAAAAAGGTAACAAACTTTGTATGTATTCATCATAAATAATAAAGTAGTAAAATTAAACTGGAGAATTAACAGTGGGCAAGTGCATATGTCAGTATAGACACTCAGCCTGTGGCTGGGACTTTGGCCTCTCGGTTACTCCCCAGCAACTCCCCTCTGTGAAGTTATCTAGGTGTAAGCAGGGTGATTCAGCTGAAGATCATGGTGGAAATGTCTTCTTTTCAGAATTGTTTGTCTTGGTAGTATGAGCAGATGAGAAGTTGTTTGTTAGGTCGTGAAGCAGTTTGTAGTGTTGAATGTAGAAGAACAAAGCTGTAGGTGGAAAGATGGATTGAAATTTCCCTGAACCAGGAGTTTGCATATTCTACAAAAGCAAACTCTACCCAGCAGACTTCTGAAGAACCCATCAGAACCTCATTTTGCTTCTTACTATTTTAAGACTATATTATTGAAGTTTTATAAAACTACACTCTATCTATCAAATTCACATAGAAATTGGTGTTGGAAATTTCTGATAGATGCTATTTCAGCAATTTCAGATTGACTTAAACCAAGCTGAAGTGGCAGGTAGCAGCATTCCAAAGTACCTTCCTCTCTTTCAAGGTCAGTCTGATGAGGAATTGCCAGCCCCCTCGCAAAGTCTGGAGAACTGCTCAAATGACCACATCCTTCATTTTCCTGCTCTTTTGTCCTTCCTTCCTTGGAGTCCTGTCTGTCATTGGAGTCACTGTCTGGAGGTATGGAAGATCACTGGCATCCAGGCCTACTCAATTGGGCTGGGTGACCTGATACCAGGCAGAGGAGTCTGCATTTCTCTATAAAAGAAGTTGTATTAACTGCTGGTGGAAGGTTTCAGGTGTTCATGAGTTGTTCTGTACTCTGAAAACAAGATCTGCTCTGTGAGCTTGTGAGAATGTGACTCACTGAGTAACTTGTCCCATGAGGAAGTGGGAGGAGAAACAAAGTTGCATTAAAGTTTTGGATTCCTGTTTAAAGGCATAAAATTTTACTTTTCCTCCTCTTAAAGTTTCTGTGACCAAGTCCTAGTTCCCAGCTTACTTACAGTATAGATGATTCTGGGTCTGCAGCAGAGAAACACCTGGGAAAACTTAGTTGAGATCAGCTTCTGGAGTATTTCTGAACTTCAGAGGCTCTTTCTGCAGGCAGGCTGACCCTGTAGTAATGCATCTGGTTGTTACCAGTATTTCAAAGCTGCTTTGGTTCTGTGTGTGTGACTCTGGTCACAGGAAGGAGGGCAGCATGGATACACTTTTCTCTTGACAATAGTCAGCAACATGATTTCGGTATTTAGTGAGACACATGAAATCAGATGGGATGAAAGCTGTCAGAGCTATCATTTCCTGAGGGCAAGTGGGAAATTCAGACTGTCTGGAGTGGTTCAGTTTCAAAGCAAACACTTTCCTTTTTCAGTCTACCTGACAATGTTAATTCTTACAATGAGCTGTCTTATTTTACCACCTTCTGTTGTTACTGAAGATCTGCAGTGACTCATGTCCCTGAAGGCAAGGTGAAATGATTTCACCTTGTGGTGAAATGTTAAAAAAATGCAGTTTTTCAATTTCCTGTAGTGTGTGCTACAGTGATTGACAGGTTATATTTATGTCAAGGTTGTGCTTACAGGGCTAGGTGCTGATCCATTGCAGCAAGGACTCATGTCTCACTGCATTGTCTGGGGTGGGCATTTAATGGCTGGAGAGGAACACAAGTTAAAAATGAAATACAGATCATGGGAGTCCAAAGACATTAGAGGGCTATAGAAAACTGAGGAGCATCTTGATGTACAAAATCACAATATTAACTAATTCACTGGCTAACATACAAAGCTTTAAGTAGCTGTTTTTCCACAATCTCAGGTTAAAACCTTCAGAAGAATGTGGTCCTTTCAGAGGTTTGCCTTCCATGTATGCTTCAGTTGATGAGTGGATACAGATACTGGAAAGCTACACTGTCTCAAAATGGGTAGTGTGGATCTACCACAATTTAATTTCGAGTGAACTTTTCTTCTTCATCATCTCTACTGTTGTACTGTAAGTATCTGCTAATGAAAAGAACTAGAAAAAGCTCTTAAGTGGAAAAAACTGGCAATGACAGAGTCATTCTATGTTATTTTGTTATCTGAAATGCATCTTGTACTGTTGACTCACTTAAATGACCTCTCATCTTGAATACAAGTCCACAAATTTTTGGGTCTTTTACAAAAGAATGTTTTAAGCAATTTCATGCATTTGCCTTGTTTTAGGCAAATCCATGTGTTTGCCATTCCTTGAGTAATTGTATACATCTATTTTCTGTGTGTGTGTACAGAGATGTGTGTATATAAGTCTTTTAATAGGTTAAAATGAACAAGATACATTTCTACCTAGACACTGACTAGAATAAAGTGCTTATGATGGACCTTTTGTTTTGTTTTGTTTAGAATTGTTATTTATCTTTACTGGCAAATAATACAAGCAAGAAAGACCATGACCAAACTCTTACGTAACCAAATTTTAAATGTAAGTTTGGCTTTCATTTGTATCTTTTGTATGATTTGGCTTCTATGTTGATTGTCTCATCCAGCTTTGTGGGGCTGTAACCTGTTTTATCTATAACTGTGCAAAGGAGGGTGGGAGCCCTTCCTCATGGGAGTTACAGGGAAATCTAACTCACAAAGAGTTGTAGCAAAAGAATTTTATCTTCAAGATGTGTTGCTGCAGCTCCCTCTGTAGACAGATTATTTTAGAATAGAAGGAATTATTTTGGTCGCTGGTTACTTACAGGCCTTGAGCCTCACAAGGATAATTAGTGCATTCCAGCTAATGATCAAATATATCTTGACTACAGGCAGGAAAAGATAAGATGTTTCTACTCAAAAAGCTACAAAGAGAGCAAAGGGCAAAGAGAAGCTCGTCTGCCCGGGGAGGAAGAGGCCAGCAGGTCAGTCTGACTGCTCAGCTGCTGCTGTTTAATTGCTTGGGGCAGGTCCATGGGCTCCTCCAGCTGTGCAAACAGCCTGCTGCTTTGGGAAAAGGCTGTACTTCAAACTTCATCTAAATGCTTGCTGCTTAACTCCAGGCAGCAAAAGGATGCTGTGAGTGTTCCCTAATTATTTGTTCCAGGCTGGAATTCAGTCTGGGTATAGAAAAGTCCTTAGCCTCACCAGACATAATTTATGGTTATGAAACTTCAAGAAAACATTCCTAATGTTCATGTGCAGTGATGGTCACCAAAGGGTTTGGTCACACCTGAACCTTGCCTAGGCTAAGGAGGAGGCTGCCTTCCTCCCCAGCAATGGATTTCCTTAGGGGGTTGTGATTTGTGGTTATTTTCAGCTGAGGTAGAACTGAGTGCGTTGACCTAACCCTATTTTAAATCCCATACAACACTGATAACTAAACTTGAATTTATTTTTCAAGGCAGTCCTGCCTGCTGAGCCATCAAACTAGTGCTAAAATGTGGACATATAGGTGCTGTCTGGTGTTTTTATTTGGGTTGAGTAAAAACTCCTTGACATAAATACTGATAGAGAAAAAGTATTTGGTAGGTTTCTCTCCTTCCTCCCAAAAAACCAAATCCCTCTGTATGACTGGCTATCATTAAAATGATTACATAAATAAAAAACCAAGGATGGATAATAATTGGTATTGATCTGTTGTTAACTATAAATATGTGCGTGATAATACAAATAAATATTGACTGTAAAGAGGTAAGCTGAACATGAGGGACATTTTCTACGTGCTGGGGATTTTCAGACAACATCTGCCTGTGTTGAGTGTTAGGAGTGGAACTCCTGAGAGGGAGATTTGTCACCTCCCAAGTGTGGATGTTCTTGTAGTTGTTAAGGTCAGATTTCAGAAGGAGATGCCAGAATGATCTCACTGTGGATTTAGGAGAAAGGCCATTTCCCTGAGACAAGGGAGATGAGCAGTGCTGACCACACAGTCACAGATGGAAGCCAGATCACAGACTGCTGATGCCAAACTCTTTTTCAGAGAAGCTTCTCTTCATACCACCCATCCATGCAACCTGCCCAGGAGATGCCAGGCTACGCAGCAAGGGCATTTGGCAGAAGCCAAAACACATCCTACAATGAGGTGAGATGGGCAAAAGAGGGAAATGTAGATTCCCCTACACAGAATCTGGGGTGTGGCATAGGTGATGGGCATATGTGTGGCAAAGGCCTATATGCATGGAAATAACTTTAAAGATTAACTTGAGCAGATATAAAAATGTGATCAGAATAGCTATTGAACACTCATAATCACAAACCTGCTCAAGACTTGGAGAGCATGGTTTTGTTACAGATAACTGGTATCTTTCCAAATACAAGATAAACACACACAGGAGGGAAACCATGACCTAAATCTGCTTGTGAATTTTGTTTTCAGCATCCCTTTTCTGTTGAGATCTCAAGCACCAGTGACTTTCCACCAGGTAAGCAAGTAAGATGAAACACAGGAAACTCTTAAAAATTCAGCTCAGTAAAAATGTTTGATGTACAGACACAGTGTGTGACAGCTGCATGTCAGGGACACAGCATTTTAGCATCTTGTGTATAGAGAAAACAAAATGACTGGGTGTTGCCATCTTACTGCAGGGGTTCCATACTGTTGTCTCCTTATCACAAAAGTTCCAGACCTTCTTGGTGTTGCTCATGGGCATCTCCTCAGAGCACTGACTCGTTCTTCTTCACAAAGCAGCCACCGACTCCAGTTCCCTTCTCACCCAGCCCACCCCACTCTTTTATAGCATCTTCTTCTCATTGCTTACACCTGTGGCCTGTTAAAGTCAGGCCTGCTCCTAATCTTTGCTAATTGGCCCAGCTGCAACTCCTTAGGCTAAGATTACTTTCTACACTATCTTTATTTTCCTATCTTCTATCCCCCTACAACTGGGCTTGTGGGGTGAATTTTTTCTACAGACTGTGCTTTTTGGTGGCTTGTTCTGTGTTGGAGGTGACTCCTAAAGCCTGACCACCAGCTTCTGTGTACTAGAGAGTGAAATTCCTGGGTAAATGAGCCATTTTGTCTTATGGGAGCACCCAAGAGAGAGGCAAGAACTTTAAATCAGTTTAGAAACAGACTTCATGTGTTGGTGTGAAAGGGGGTAGAGTCCCTAGGACATCATCCTGCTCAGAGTAAAACAAGGCCATGGGACCTTGCATGGCAGTCTCAATTCCATGTAACTTCATGGCAAAAACTTGACAGAAGCGATCCCTGCAGAGCAGGGGCCGTTCCGGCGGGGTGGCCGCCCCCTCTAACGCTGTTTGCCTTGGGCCGAGCAGGCGGCGAGCCCAGCCCGTCCCGCGCCGTGGCGCTCGCCCTGCGCGCCCGGGCAGCGGCGCTGGGCGAGGACAGCGATGGCAGCGAGGGATTCCAGCCCTAAACGGGCACGGACAGCGATGGCAGCGAGGGATTCCAGCCCTGGACAGGCACCGGCAGCGATGGCAGCGAGGGATTCCAGCCCTAAACGGGCACGGACAGCGATGGCAGCGAAGGATTCCAGCCCTGGGGAGGGACAGGCAGCACCAAGTGAAGGCACAGCCATCCTCTCTTGCACTAATGATAAAAGAATCTCTCAAACATCTTTTTTTACGTCCAAATGGAAGGAAAAAACTGGAAGAACAGGTTGTAAAATGCGTCGGGACTTGGGTTTTTTACTGTGATAGGGAATATCCACCTGCTGGGGTTGTTTTGCAGCAGTGGTGTTGGTGACAGCCTTCCCCCAGGACTGGCATCACCTCGATGCAGGCAGGCTCCCTCCATGTGTTGTTGACTAAATATAAGCGAATTTGTACCTAACTGTAAATAAAAGTTGTGTGTTTAAAAATATTTTTCTAACAGTTATATTGTTTTACCTGTTTTATCAGCTTTTATGTGCAGTACTGGTTAAATAAACAGAAATATATTAAAGTGCAGTTGTTTTTAAAGACTGAGACATTGTAATGGCTGTGAAGTAACTTGTGTGAACTGAGTTCATTTTTCTGAGCCATTTTTACAGTTTATTACAGTCACTTAAAAGCAGCTTTGAGGAAGCCATGAGAACTAAGAGTGTCTACTTATCAAATTCTCATCTGTGTAAAACTATTGCTTGTAAACTGGAACTTCACATGTCTTTTTCTATAAAGGATTGATTGGAAGTAATACAACTAAGAGTTATTTTTTTATCATACATGACTGTGAGATTTGATGCAGCTTCTTTTTATTCAAGACTACAACCTTGCCACCACCATGATAATTTTGGTTTTGTTTAGCTCATTTTCTACTAGTGCCTGTTTTTTTCCACCCTTGTTGCTCTGGGAAGAGGCACATCTTTTCATCTTGCTCATAATTTAGGCTAACCCAGCCACCACAGGCACAGAGAAAAGGACAAACTTTACACACAATGCAAGAGCAGAGATTCAATGTTGTTTCCCTGCACATACCCCTGTGGAGCCTGGTTGTGGGCATTGGATATGGATGTGGTGTTTGCACTGAGGATGGTGACTCAGCAGTGCCAGAAACTCGAGCAGCAACCACAGCTGGACCTTTGGAGCAGGGCCATAGCCATGAAAAGTCATTGTCCTTCAGTGGGAGCCCCTGTGGGGCTCAGCAGTGACAGCACAGCACCCAGGAAAGGCAGGACAGCATCTGGACATAAACCTACACATTCTATGGGATGTGCAGCAGGAGGCTGAGATTGCTGCTTCTGCAGTGCAGGGGGCTGAGTGACAGGGAAAAAAGCACCTCCTTTGTGCTACTTTGTGCCTGGATGGAGCTCAGGAAACAAACAAAAAAATCCATCCCCCCCAGCAGGTCACAGCATGAATCTCTGGTATTCCAGAAGTTTGGATTTACCCAAACTGGGACAATCTGCACTAATTTTAACATTTTATATAAAATACCCTTCTGCACAGCTGACAAAGAACACTTCCCCATGAATTCTCAAAGACCTTTTATTGTAACTGCAGACTCTTTGGAGTTCAAGTTAAATCTGGATTACAGTTTCCATATCCCTCTGAGTGCCCTTCAATCATGCAACCAAAAGCAAACTAAAAAGACATTTCAGCTCCATTTGTTCTACTGCTTACCAGCACTCTCTGTATAGCTTTATCTTAAAAATAAATACATTCATGTGCTGTGTTTTTTCTTCATTAGAAGAAACAATTTCCTATCCTCCACTGGTTCTCTTAAAAGGTCTGGAAGATAAGAAGCTAATCAAGTTTTATTTGTTAATTCTCATAACCTTCACATCACATCACACATGGAAAGTTGGCTTTTTCTTCCTCATCAGTATTCAGCACAGCCATCTTTCCACACAGGGCAGGGAAATATACTCCTCTTCTATTTTGGCACCATTGTAGCATTATTTCCAGTTTTTGTTTTAAGAACAGTAATGTCATTGATTTTAAGGTGCTATAAATCAACCTCAAATTAGTATACACTTGTAGGACATGCTAGTTAAAATTACTAACATCAAGTTATGATTTGAAATTTTGACACCAAAATTGCCGACACAAATTTAGAACCAAAATTATCTGATTCTTTCACAAGAAACTGATTTCCTCAGACTCTGTGGCTGCCCCAGAAGGTTCCTGCATTTGAGATGTGACCGTTGGCAGAAGCCAGGTGCTGCTCTGCCTTTCCCAGGCTCTCCTCAGCACTCCATCAGCCCTGCCAGGCTGGCTCAGTAGTGGGGGTCACAGTCCTCCAGCAAGCTGTCGGTGATGTAGCTGCAGTCGAGGACACTCTCGTAGTAGCTTTTCTCTGCAAATGTGTTCACTGTCCAGGCCACCACTCGAATTCCTCTGGAAGACCAGTGCCTCACATAGTCCCTGCAAGGAACAGACACACCCTGAGAGCAGCCTGACACTACACTGAGTTAACAGTGCTGAGGCTACAGCTGAGTTTTGGTCTTGCATCAGCAGCACATCAAGGAACAAAAGTGTGTCACGTTCTGCCACATCATCTTTTTGTGTTTTCTTATTGTAAACAGGCAAAAGCAACAAATACTTTTTCTCTTTGAGATTAACAGAAGGTAAAAGTTCAGATAAAAAAGAGGCTTAAAATCATAAAACAGCACAGAGTAAAGAAATTATCAAGACACCTCATGCAACACTAAATGGAACATTTTGTTAAGCACATACTGTGTTAGCTCCACCCTATATACTAACAGAAGAGAATGTCTCCTGATAAACAAGCAAACTTCAACACTTACTGAGAAACAAAATTCTTCTGTATGAGGAAAGCTGAAACCCCACACAATCTCCACAAGAAGCTGTGCAGGCTCCAGTCCAGAATGACATCCATCACCATGTACAAGAAATGCTTCCAGGAGGAACTGAATCGGGGTGTCCCATCTCCCAGGTGACTCAGCTGCCAGGGCCTGTGGGTCAGTGCTGTCACAACATTTCTGTCAGCTTGTCTCATCTGGAGGACCAAGGAGAAAAGACTGTAATTCATCCAAAAGCCCAGCAGCATTAAAAACACTTTTTGAGAAATTAGATACAAAGTCCTAGCTTGCATTTACAACTCCACCAGAATCCTTCTGCCCTTCCCCTCCAGATCCTTTTGTAACTCTTTTACAAAGATGTTTATATTTTATAGGGTTTTTTCCTTCAAATCATACTGAATAAGCACCAGCTCTTATGTTAAAGAAATTACACAGCAGTCATGCAATGTATATAATGGGAAAAAAAGTAAGTAGACTTGGCAATGAGGATAGAGTTTTAGGAGTAATGTAGAATAAAAAGGGTTTATTTAGCAGGTACCTTGCACACAGATACCTGGCCAGACACCAACTAGAAGAGCAATGCACTGTCTGCACTGCTTTCAGAAGGGAGGGAATTGCTGTAGATTCCTATTTGCATCTAATGAGTAGAGTCATCTAATAAGATTATGCATTATGCTCCATTTGTTTTTAAAAGCCTTAAGAATTTGAACAGCCCAAAAGAAACCTGGAACTGGGAGTTTAATACCATGCCGAAATTCCCAGACAGGACTGAAAAAATAAAAAATAAACTTTTAGGAAACATCACCTTATAAACAACATCTGGCATGAAAGAACAGACAATGCTGCTGTTATACAACTGTGGAAATTCCTGGTAGAGTTGTTTCAGGGTATCAACTGCCTGCAATTAGAGACACACAGAGATGTTATACAAACACTCATATTTAATTTACACTGCAAAGTCATTTTAGAACAATCTTAAAAACACTTCCCTGCTGTGTTACAAGACTGAAATAGAAAGGGAGAAGAAGAAAAACAGCATCTTGTTTATAGCATTAACACAGAAATGATATTTTGGTTTTTAGCAAAAGAATTTCTGTTCATTACTCTATTTACAATAATGAGTAGGATTCTCAGTGTTTGAAATGCCCTTAAATATGTTTTGGATCTAATTTTTAGTACTACCCAGGCTTTAGTTGAAGAGGAAAATTATTTATTCCTATATTTTGCTAGGCGAAAGAAAAAAAATTTATGTAAAATGTTAGTGATGGATCATTTTCATCTGCCTTCAGTAATGCAAATTACAGATCCCTCACTGGAGGCTGAAGATGAGGTTGTGACTCCCCCCAGCACAGCAGGGAATTCCCTTTGCTCTGTTTCACTGGGAGCTGAGTGCAGCACTTGCCCCAGCCTTGTGCCAGTCTCAAGCTGCAGCTTCCCAGGACAGCTCTGGGTGTCACCAGCAGCAGGCCTGGGCTCACTCCTGCTAAAGAAGGGACTGCAGCCCAGGGAGCAGTCTGAGACCAGCACTAGAGCAGGTCAGAAACCCAAGGCAGGGGTCATGCTGCAGTGAGCAGTACCTGGTTTGCATGGCCTTTGACATCGAAGTAGATTGTAAGATTGTGATGCATGGACTCCACAACAGCTTCCCTCAGAGTTGGCACCTTTTCATCCTGGAATTGGCTCCTGTGGAAACACAGAACTCCTTGGAATGCAGTTAACACACACATGCACACACATGGCCTGCATGTCACCACCAACAGGGCTGACTCCAGCACAGTTTGCTGCTGCACTGGAACTGGGGGTGGGATCCAGTGCTCACTGGCCCCGTGTCCCACCCCAAAACACCAACCCCAGTTCTTCACCTCCTTCCCACAAATGAGCTTTCAGTTCCAACTGCTGCTTTCCTCCTGCTCCTACTGCACTCCCCAGCCCTGAGCCAGAAATGCAGATCCTGGCAGAACAGGGAGGGCAAGCTGAGGATCAGCAGAAGCAGCTTCTCCCATCAATAATAAACCATTCCTGATGGGGTGACAGTGCATTCACTCCTGACAGTGAACAGCAGCTGCTCAGCAGTCACTGCCTGTGAAAATTCCCCCTTCCAGTGAGACAGGGAAGATACTCCTTGTGCCACACACCCACAGGAGGCACATCTGTAGCTCTGGAATTCCCTAATGCAGTGTCTCAGGAGCACACACAGAGTCCTTCCTCTGAAATGGACTCACTTATGATACTTCACAAGCTGCATTGTTATCAAATTCTTAGTAATGTATGAAAATATTTCCCCTTGCATACCCCCAGGCAGGACCTAATCAGCCACGAGGGTCACAGTGAGGCCACCCAAAATCTGTCTAGCTCCTCTTCGAGAGTATAAACCTGATGTGGAGAATCCCCAAAACACCATCAGTCAAGAAATACATGTGAATAAAACTAATCTTAGAAGTCATTCCTGTAGCCAATTCTGAGATATGAAGATCCCAGCACCTTCAGTGTCCTGCAGTCAATTTAGGACAAGCTTATGTAAATATTGACCTGTTTCACTTTAGATGTCTGTGGATTTTGTCCTCAAAAGCCAGTTTATCCTGACTGTGTTCCACTGTTCCTAATCTACTGATGAGTAAGAAGATATAGTCTTATATGCCTCTAAAACTCAAATTAAAACTAAAATATAGAACTAAGTTTTAAATTAAAAAAAATGTTCATCAGTGATAGATCAAATCAATAATTTTGTTCATCAAGAATTATTTTTCCACTGTTGTAAGTGTAATTTCAGAGCAGTTCATTTACCGTAGCCTGTGTTTTGCAGCTGGATTCAGCTTCCTGATTTCCTCAAAAGTCAGGTCCTGCAGTCTCCCAGCCCCATCAGTTGTCCTTTCAACTGTGTCATCGTGCATGAGAATGGGGACACCATCTGCACTGAATTCAAGATCCAGCTCCACA